TAGGAGCGCGGTGACGCGTGTGCACCGAGCCCTTACCTCTGTCCTCTGTGTGTGTGTGTGTGTGTGTGTGTGTGTGACTAAAATGGCGCGTCTGCGTGTGTAACTGAGGATGCAGATGCAGCTGTGGCCGGGCTGTCCGCGGTTGTCTGGGAACCGTGCCATGTGACCAACGTGTGCGCCGAACTGGACATGCGTTTCTGCGTGGCTTGAGATGTCCGTGGAGGATGAGTGGGCTCCTCTGCTCACGTTACCTGCGGTTGCTTTGCCCATTTTAGGGTCTCAGTCAACATGCCCCCTCCCCACTGCAAGCCGAGCCGCCCCACCCGTGCTCCCTGCAGCTGGGCTCTCCGAACAGCCTCGCCCCCGCTGCGTGGCGCGGGAGCCGAGCCTTGTTCCCGGACGGTCGGGGTGGAATCCTCCACTGGCCTGCGTGTGTGGGAGAGAGAGAGATGGGGCAGGGTGGAGAGGTGATAGGTGGTCATGGCGGGGCACTTGGAGGCAGAGCCTGGCTTTCCCAGGCCGTTCAGAATCTCAGGGGCATAAAAGGGAATCCTGCCCCCTGTCCCTGGCTTGTCTTACTCTTGACCTTGCCCCTCCACTGGGACAGTCCCCCACCTGTCCCCACATAATCTCCCCCCGCCCCATGCCTCGGAGCCAGTTTCTGCTCTTCACCGCGAGCCCAGTGAGCCCGGACCGCTCGCCCCTCAGCCTGACCAGCTTGAGCTTTGGCTTTGGTGCAGCTGCACCTCAGCTAGAGTGCCAGGACGGGGCTCTGTCCAGAAGCCCACCCAGTGGTGGCCCTGGTGACCTCTGGGCTCCCTTGAGGGAGAATGCCTCTCTGACCTCCTGGAGCTCCGTTTTCTTGGTGACACCAAATACAGGGTTAATGTCATTGCCGTACCTTGTCCGGGTGCCTCCCGTTTGTGGATCTGCACAGGAGCTTGGTGACCTGGGGAGAGCATATTGTTACTGTGGGCTCTGATGGGGACCGAGGCACAGGGAGCTCAGGGGGGTTGCTCATGGCTGTGTCAATCAAGTGATCCCTGTGCCCGGCAAAGTGCTTGGATAGAAAATAACAAAGGTGACCAACCCCTTCCCCAACCACCAAGGGCTGCACGATGACTGGGCAGGATGGCTATGAGGACTGGTCCGTAAAGGTGTCTGGAACCTCTGGGAAGCCCTGCCTCTGCCTCACACCTAGAGCCCTCTCGCAGCTGAGCAGAAAACCATCTGTGGAGGGTCGGCAGACAGAAGCAGGGGCGGGAGGCACTGGGCCATGCAAGAGGGGCTTTTGCTTGGGGCTCATTTGAGGGAACGTGGGGACAAGGGGAGATGCCTGACCTGGTGACTATCAGGCGGGAATGAGCTGGGTAGGGAAGTGGTTGGACCTGTATGTGCCACTCATGTGACCTAAGGATGGATAGCACCCACCTGCGATCAACCAGATTGTTCTCAGGAGATCAGAGCATAGCATCCTGCTAGCCAGCTTGTGAAAGTACGCTGGCAGGTGCGTGTTGGGGGATGTGCAGGAACAGAGAGTCTCAGACCCCTCACTTCTCCAGGATCAAAACTACAAAACTTAATAAACAAGCAGTTTTGTTCCCTGCCAGATCCAAACTTCAGTTTACCTAAGCAGTTCCAGGTGTGAGCCCTCCCAGTCTCAGTAACTCATCACCCAAAACATACAAATCTTCCCAAGTAGCCTCCGTCCTGCTTTGTGTGCACACCCGTGGTCACTGCCCCTGTACGGGGATGTTCACCTGCAGCTGCGTCCTCATTGGCTTTGAGCTACTCTGCTTCCTCCTGGTCTGGGGCCAGATCCATCCTCGATGGCAGCCTGCCTGTGTGGGTGTGCCGACTGTGGGCCACCCAGCCTGATGCCTGCTCCCTGGCTGTGGCAGGCTGGCTTCTCTCCAATGGCCTCACTAAGTCCCCGGTCTCATCCCAGCCACACTGCAACCAGGAGGTTCTGATCCCGGGGCCAGGCCTCCCTGCAGAAGAGGACAAGCCCGCAACAGGTCTTTTAGCTAGTGTGAGTGCAGTGCCTTCCTGAGGAGGCCTGCATGCAGCCCCCAGGATTAGCCCAGTGCCCTGTGCCCAGGGTCCCTGAGTGGGCCTCGGGAATCTGCAGCCCCTGTACGGCTGCTGCCTGTGAGGGTGAGTGTACACGTGAGCAGATTATTCTGAGCGTGCTTTCACTGGCATTTGGAGCAGCTCTAACCCCCAGAAAACACGAAGAACTGGTGGTGTCTGAACATGCTTCCTCAGACCCCACCTTGGAAGAAAGGCCCCACCTGAGCGGACTCTGGTACCCAAGCATCGCACCCCCACCTCCCACCCTGCCCCTCCAGGGCGCCGTGGGGGCCTCTCAGACAGCGACTAGAATTCAGAGACTCAGCCAGTCCTGCTGCGTCTGCTCTGGTTGGAGTTTCTGTGGGAGGACTACCATGCACACTGCCACACACCCGTGAGGGGACAGGACAGCGGCTCAGAGGAGGAAACAGCACAGAGGGCCGTCTGGTGACGCCCCGAGGTCCTACTGCTTAGCCAGAGAGCCAGCCCTTGGTCCAACACTTAGTCCCAGCAGAGCAGGGCACGGACCTCACCTCTTGGGCAGCACCCAGCCCACCCCTCCTCCTGCCTGGAGCCCACAGAGCCACTCATCATCCACGGGGCAGACACTGAGCCCACATTACAGGAAAGCAGCAGTCAGCCTGAGAGGAAACAGAGTTCTGAGCACGAGGGCTGGCTGGGAGGGTGCTGTCTCCCGGCCTGGCCTCTCCGGGCAGCAGAGCATCCTTCCTGATGCGATGTCTGGTCACGTGGGAGGGAGGAATCACTCCAGTTACTTCCGCAGAGAGAAATGAACACGGAGAATTGTTGGCCAAGTATAAAGTGGCTGAGTCAGTAACCAAGTGCACAAGAACAGTCCAAGGTATCTGTTACAGAGGTGGCACCTTCCTCTCTAGAGCTGAGAATATAGGAAAGAGCCTGGGATAATTAAAACTGAGAATCCGATGGGGTTGAGACCTAGAGCTCTGAGGAGGGGTGCTGCTCAGCTGGTGCTCGGGGGTGGGGTGCCCTGAGGCTGGTTCTGCAGGCACGCCAACAACACTGTAGACCCGATCCACTGCAGTGGCTGGGCACCGCCGTACCCGGGGGAAGCGGCATTGCTGCTTGTCAGGTGACCTCACAGGGACTGCACATCCTCAAGAAGCCAGTAAGAAGGAGCAAGCCCCTTCTCCCTCTAGCTCTGAGGTCCCCTCCCACGCCATGATAGGAAGACCTGGTGGGGTGCAGCCGGGAATGCATCACAGAGCAGGGCAGAGACAGAGGAGAAGCTGAGAGGCGAGAGTTTAATTACCAGCCCAGTGAGGATGGGAGGAAAGTGTGCCCTGTGTGGATTCTGATTCTGTGGCTCTGCGGGATTCTAGCGAGATCAGATCACTCTAGGTTCCATCCTGAGCCCCTGCCAGTCTGGACATGCCCTGGGCATAGCCCTCCCTCCCAACCCCCTACCCAGAGCTGCTGGCTCAGTGGGAGCCTCCGTCTGCTCCTCTGTAACTTGAGTAAGGGGCAGGAGCGCCTCACCCGACCGAACTCCTGTCCTCTCTCCACAGCTCATCAGTGATGGAAGCGTGGTCTGTGCCGAAGCACTCTGGGACCATGTCACCATGGATGACCAGGAACTGGGCTTCAAAGCTGGGGATGTCATCGAAGTAATGGATGCCACCAACAGAGAGTGGTGGTGGGGCCGCGTCGCCGACGGCGAGGGCTGGTTTCCAGCGAGCTTCGTGCGGGTAGGGCCCTGGCCCGAGCTGCTCCCAGGCCCAGAGAGGGCCACCTGGCTCTGCCCCAAAATGCAAGCCTGAAACTGCCCTGGGG